TCTCATCAATTTTTGTTTTGTTTGGTTCCTCGCTGGCCTCTACATTTTCACCAATCTGTACGCTAGAAATAACTTCAATATCAGTTGCTACATTATTTTCTAGCTGCGTTTTGTTATGTGGGCAAGCGATCTTTTTATGTCCAACGTCTCCGCATTCAAAACATTTCATGTTGCCGGTGCTCGCGTAAATCATGTAAGATTTCCCCTCATGTTTGATTCGGAAAGAAATGTCCAGCGTTTGTTGATCAAGAAACATAAACACCTGACGCCTAAACGACAGAACGTGTTTCAGTGCTTCATTCTTACATCTCAACGGAATCATTTTCACTTCACTGGCCATTTTTCCAAACCTCAACAACTCCTTTTCAATGTCACTGTTTAATATAAACGGCGGCACATTAGAGATCGTTACTCTAACAGATTGCGACACAAGCGGAGACACAACAGTAAACGCTCCATTTACCCAAACGCTGGTTTCAATTAGTTTACTCACCAAACTTTCATCTTTAAGGAAAACCACCACTGCTTTATTCATCCTTGACGCTGAAATTATATTGTCAAATCCAATCTGTTCACCAACAGCGACAAGCACGTCTTCCACACAGGTACACACCTGACCCCATGGCGGAGCGAGAGTGAGGCTACACCCCCACTCGGGTGAGCCTCCATCTCAGGCCTCCGCCACGAAGCCGAAAACCCTCAACAACAGAAGCGTGTATGATACTTGAAGATTAAGTTTACCAATCTATGCACAAAACAAGAGAAAAAAACATAAAAGAAGAAAAATAGAAAACCACAAAAAAAACAAAACAAATAGAAACTAGAAAAAAAGCGGAAAAAAACAAATCGCTCTTCTCAGAGAGAGAGAGAGAGAGAGAGGAGAGACCGAGTTGGTACAATTTCACCTCGACATAACCGTTCTGATACACCACGAAAACATGTTCTTAATGCTCTGAAAACAGGGTAACCCAAATTTACTTGCATGTGGAATGGTTCGCTCATGTGTTGCTGCGTTCCTTGAGCGGCCTGCGTGGCGAGTAGGATGGCGGATCTTTTGTCCTCCGTGCGCGTGCGGCCCGCATGGTTTAGCTGCGTGTGCATGGCTCCTTTGTCCCATGGGCGCGGGGCGTCACGTGGCATTCGGCGCGAGTGTTTGAGAGGCTTGAAGTCTTTGAGGTGACGTTACCCAATGAAATAGTTCGGCAAAGTCCGCTTCCTTTCCTGTGAGACGAACTTGGCAGTCCACTTGAGGAAAAGTCGAAACTTTAGACGAACAAAGAAAAGATCCAGGATCGGATCTGATCTCTGTGAGGAGATCACGAGCGTTACATGTTTCTCTGGGAAGGTCAGAAGGCAAGAGAGGGGCGGGCAGAGCCGCGCTCCTTCCTTTATAACCTTAGAGAAATCCATCCCCTTCCTGTTGGCTTGAGCCAATCGGGGAGATGGACGTTGCGCGCGGGAACTCTCGGTTTATTGTCCTTTGTTCCTCAGCGCGCGCTCCTCGTGGAAGGGGGTGTGTCCAAGGAGGCTAATAGTAAAACCGTTTGATCTTCATTGTCGGCAAAACGTATTAAAAATACACTTTACTTTACATCTCTATGCATATTCGAGTGTTTCATTCAATAAGCACTCTAGAGATATCAAGGAACATTATGTTACACCATTTAACTGTCACCGTCCCACAGATGGGACGTTTGCCACTATATTTTTAGAACAATAATATCTTAGTAAATATCTTAAATAATATTGACAAACTATATATCATTTGAAAGCTTAAAATCTCTAGTTTCCATATTTGGTGACTGATTTTCAAAATATATTACAGAGGAGCCATAATTTATCAATATAAAACAAGAATATTTTCATACTCATAAGGCATGTTCAGACCTTTATTTTAAAATAGCAGTAAACATGAAAAATCATGAAAAAAATGGTAGATACCCCAGTTTGTTTTGCCAAAAGTTCAAAAGATAGAATCCATTCAATTATTTTGGAAAAAAAGGTCTGAAAAGTTTGAAATATCAAGAAAAAAATAATAAATTCACCATTTGTGACGGGGCAGCGAGCTATGACTTACATGCGTGTTCTTGTATGTGTTTCTTAGAGGTTCAATTCATGTCAGAATCTGCCAAACTTCCCATACTACTTCTGAATAGGATCTCTACTTCAGACATTGTATGAAAATTGTGAAAATAATGGTTCATATCACTCAAAACACGAATGGAAATGCAGGCGCCCTTATATGGGCAGTAATGGAGTCTGGTTGTGCCCTAGTGAAAAAGTTTGGTACTGCGCTCAAACAAAATCTTACTGAAAGCTCATTTTTTGAGATATCAACCTAAAATTTGAAACACAACTTGTTCAGATTTTTGGCTTTGATCTTTCTGCCGTTTTAGGGTAGCCCAGGTTTTGAAAATATGTATTTTATGTAAAATATGAATAATTAATATTTTTACATTGTACATTTCCATAAACTCAAACTTCTATAACTTTTTGTCTGTGTCACTTTCTTAATTTATTTCACTTCTACAAAAATCTGCCAAATGTCTTCTTTAAAACAAGACCAATCATATGTCTATAGCATTCTTGAATTACAACCATTTAAGTTCGAAATGTGCATTTTCATGTCTATTCAAAAAAAAAGGGGGGGGGGGGTGACAGTGGTTAAGAGGTTAAAGCAATATACACTTATGTTTAAAATGCATGAAGAAGGTATTTCTAATTTCTATTTACGTTGTGACCAAACAAAGATATTTCACTGTGACATGGGGGAGAACACACATACATAAAACCATTGAATACCTTTGTTAAAAGAAATGTATTTCTCTTTGTTCAGAGACATTCGTTCGGCCACACCTTCCATTGGTGTCATAAAAGTCTTGTAACTCGATCCCACTGGGGTAAGTAAGTGAATGTGTGCGTGTGTGTACGTTTTGGGGGAGGGTGGAGTCGCCTGGCAAAGTCCTTACAATGTGCATGAACATACATTCACATTTATACGGGAACATGTGTGTGCATTATATGTACACATAGAAAAAAACTTTATTAATATTACATGTAATGCCTTTTTGTGTTAATATATAGCCATGGTCAATGCATATATTGCAGTATACTAAAAAAAATATAAGCACAGGTTTGCCATATATGGAAATGTACTGGTATTACAATATATTGCATTCAGGGCTTGACAATAACTTTTTTGCTCACTAGCCAATGTGGTTATCACACAGTATTTTTACTAGTATTTTTACATTTTTGTTGTTTTGAAATTACCTGATTAAAGTTGACTATGTCGTGCTAACATTTACTTGAACTAGATTTACAACCTTTTTAAATGTAAAACCACTGTACACACCCAAATCAAGGCCATAAATGTATAACAATACAGGTCATTATCATTAGCTCTGATAAGGTTGTGTGTAAAGCTCCTTTTTTAAATAAAACTATGTATTAAGATAAAGACTAGCTTCTTCTAACTAAAAAACTAAACTAAAACTGAAAAAACTAAACTGAAAAAAACCTTTAGCATGGAAACACTGTCTGTTTAAATCTAAGGCCTCGTCCACACTACTGCGTTTTCGTTTAAAAACGGAGACCTTTTGCTACTTTTGCACCTCCCGTTCACACTAAAACGGGAAAAACGAAGACCTAAAACGGAGAAGTTTAGAAACGCTGCAGCTGCGTTTTGAATCTCCGGAGGGCGTTTTAGTGTGGACGAGACAAAACCATACAAAACGGAGAACTTTAGAAACGCTGACGCAGAGGCTGACGCTCGGCTCTATGATTGGGTGTTATCAGTCATGACGTATCCTTCCCTGATTCGCCATTCACTGTTTACACCGGCACGCGCATGCCCAGTGTTGGTGAATGGTCACGTGATCCGCGTTTTCAGTCGTTTTAATGTGGACGGAGATCGTTTCTCATATGCAGATAAAACGCTGGTGTGGACGGAGATCGTATTCGTTTTAATTCTCCGTTTTTAAACGAAAACGCAGTAGTGTGGACGGGGCCTAAGAGTCAGACTCAGAATTACTTCATTGTGCCCCGATGGGAAATTATTTGCTACCAGTAAAAGTAGGTCAGTGAAACCCCACGAAAAATGGATTCCATGGTACAGACAAAGTTGCTTTTTTTCATACTTTTTTGAGGGGAACGTTCCTCATCATAAAGAACACATTTCAGTTTGTGTCATTTTTCGTTTTTGCTCGGGCCCCAATAATGACTACTGGTGAGGCGGACAAGAAATGGATAGACATATACAATGTAAATTTAAACACTCCTTCTTAACGACAGCAGTAAATAATAAAGTAGAAAAACATCTCGGTATTAGAACAACAATAAGCAAAGAATGACCAATTATTTTTAGCTCATCAATTCAAACTCTGAAAAAAATACTTGAATGTGAGTGTGATTGTGGGGAGCAGGACAAGGCTGAGGGACGTGAGAGAACGGCGCGAGGCTGGTGGTGTGATTTAATGATCGACTCCTGTGCAATGCACCGGTCTCGTATCTCTCACAGAGGAACTGAAGCATTAAGACGATTGTGAAGAGCGAGAGAGGAAAGGCCTGAAATTTATTTGTTTTGTTTTATTGTGTGTGGCGGCAGTCGACCGTGAGAGGACTGCGGTCTTTACTTTCGTTTTTGTATTCGTTTTGTGTTGTCATTAAAATGTATTTGATTGCTCGCCGGTTCCGCCTCCTTTAATACTCATGGGAGTTGTAGTGTCGTAGTGTCACACTGCAATATGGTTTATTTCAGATGCCTTTTGAAAAGACTACAATTATTCAACCCACCAAAGTGGCTAGTTGGAGTGTCTGTTACCCGCCACGAGCAAAATCCACCCGCATTTGGCGGCTGTTAATGTCAAGCCCTGGTTGCATTATAGTTTACAGTATATTCCCATATATTTTTGTTCCGTATAAGGGCTCTTACACCATATACAGTTGTTTATCTGATCCATAACATCCTGCACACTTCTATAATTTTCTGTCACTTCCAGCAACCATGTCGGATGCCGACAGTTCCCTTTATGTGGACGGCAACCTGGTCAGCAACCCGCTGGCCGACTGGGACACCAAGAAGCTGGTGTGGGTGCCGTCAGAGTGCCTGGGATTCGAGCTGGGCTCTGTGAAGGAGGAGTACAGGGACGAGGTGGTTGTGGAGCTCGCCAACTCTGAAACGAAAGTGCGAATCAACAAGGATGACATCCAGAAGATGAATCCGCCCAAGTTCAGTAAGGTGGAGGACATGGTGGAGCTCCCCTATCTGAACGAGGCATCCGTGCTGCACAACCTCAAGGAGCGGTACTACTCCGGACTCATATATGTGAGTCTGCGCAGTCACACACTTGTACTACAGGTCATACACACCAAATACTGCCCACCCAGCCCATATACTCAGCTGCTGGAGTGTAGTGATTAATATAAATGTGAACCTGCACAAACAAATCTATAGACCAGGCACAGCTCTCTTTTACAAAGGAAATAATACACATTTAAATAAGTCAGTCTCAAATTGTTGCTCCTCTCACAAAGAGTGAGAGACTTAACTCCTCTTGCACACATGTAGCTGCACTAGTGGACGTACCTCTGGAGATGCAATCAAAAGCAGGCTTGTAATTCTGAAGAATGTCCAAATGAAACAGCAGCATTGTAAGAGATTTATTTAATTTTCACAGGTTTATTTTTCTATGTGGTTCCTGAAATTGTATTGTTACAGCAGCTCCTGCTGCTGATGGCTTGGATATGCACCAATGTGAAGTCGTAGCCTGGGTTTCCCCATGCTTTACCGAAGCGTGATTTTTATTCCCGCTGCTAGGCAGCCTGGACACCATGAACCAAATTTTCGCCTGAGATAGGGAACCAATCACAGAATGGGGAGGGAGCAGCAAGACGATGACGATGTATATGAGACACACCGAAGCAGTTTGTTTATATCTATGGATCCATCATGGCAGTGGACAGGAAGTTACCTTTTGATACAGCCTTTGTGTATACATCTCTGACCCATCGTCTTCTTCCTCGTCTAATTTTCTGTCGCTCTACATGCGTCATCTGGTATCATTGACCCGATTGGCTATGAGCTACGTACTGGTGCATTTGATAGACATTCGTAGCACCCAATAATGCGGCTCTGGGGCTTCGTAAACCACGCCTCAAATACGAGAAAATGAATATGTGGTTTCCAGACCACGTCTCATTCTCAATGATACGTGGTCTGGCGTTAGCCAGGCAAGTGAAGTCGTGTAGTTGATCTCAAATCTTAAAACAATGGCACAATGCAGAACCAGGCGCCACGCAACTGTTCTTTGCTAGTTTTGGCCTGACACAGTTATCATTTTTACGTCCCGCTCCACGTTGTATAAATAGTAAATGCATTTGTGAATTTTTTTTTTTCATTTAAAGAGTGCGTTAGTAATGTGCGCCTATAGGCGGGTCCACAACACGGATACACTTTGCACCCCATACACCCCATTACACACTCAGGGATGCACAGCAGCACACAAACAAATTTGAATCCGTAATTTCAGTGGATGTTTAAGACAATGAATCTGTCTATGCCTGACAGGCCATATTTTTGTTCTAACCCTGAAATGGGACGCCTGATTCAATTAAAGGCTCAAAGGCTTAATGTGTAGCTGACTATTTGAATCAGGTGTGCCATTTCAGGGTGAAAACAAAAACATGTCCTTTTGGGGGTCCCTGAAGGTTTCAGGGACCCTGAAAGAAGGTTAGAAGGTTGAGAACCACTGGTCTGATTGGTTCAGACATTACAATTAATATTGTGTACATAAAGATATGGTGGAATCTGCCTTGTGCCGTAGATGGTCTGCTCGCTCACTTTAACCTCGTGCACGAGCAGATCCTTTTCCTATCTTATTTTTTTCCGCTTGCAAATTCCGCCATTTAAATTGCGAATCCACCTTCGCACGAGCACAACTGGATTTTAAAGGGAATGGAAAATTACAATCTGATTGGTTTATTTCTTGCTATGCCTAAAACACACCTATTTCTCATTAAGAGAATAGCGACAACACTTTTAAGGTGATGATACACAGGGCAACTTTTTGAATCTTGACGAGCGATTGTTGCTTGGACACTTTCCCATTGAAAATGGGCAATACATTTCTATCTGGATAATTTAGATCGGTAATGGGCCCTGTGTCTTATCTGGTTTCCTATTGGCGGCAACATTGTCCAGTAACATTGCTCAAAGTTGCCCTGTGTATCATCACCTTTAGACTATGCGCTGGGAGCCGTTTTTCCAGTCGTTAAACTAGTAAAAGTTGATTCGGACATGCCCTTAGTGCATATGCACCATGCTCTTTAGAGTATCATTAAAGTAGGGCCCTATGTTTAAGGAACACCTGTTTAAAAACCCTCTGTGTACATACTACCCCCACCTGGTGACAGCCCAAAATACATTTACATTAACACTATAGTTACACACAAACAATTATGGTGCCAATTATCTCTTAAATTATGCAAAGGAGCCAAACCATAATTACCTGAACTCATTTCACTTCAGCTTCCTTTGTTACTGCAAATGAGTTTTACACTTATTCACAGCATTAAAAAAATACAATTACTATACCATATTGCTTAAGAGTTAAGAGCCCAACTAAATGAAATCCTGATCACCATTATGGTGACTTAAAATGAAAACCATAGAGTTAAACACTGTTATTTCTCAATAATAACTCATGTGGAAGTCTGACAGAAATAAAGTCTTGTTTATAAGTGAGGCTGATCATGCTGTTTGTGGAGTTGTTTAAATCTATAAAGATCTCAGCAGAGGAGGATTAATGTCGTCTTTTCTCTTCAGTTTATCTAAGGCTGTTGCTGGAAATCAGTTTTTCTTGTGTTTCTGCTCATCTCTGTTTCTGTTCTCTTCTTTCTTTCTGTGATTCTGCTTTTTAACAGGCTTATTAAGGTTGAGTTGACTCCATGTTTAATATACAGCGATTTTTTTTGGCTCAGATAAGGTCCATTTCTGGTTTATTTCTTTGTGGCATTGCTATGGGCTGCTTATGGCCTAGATCTGGCAAACAGGAACAGTCTGCCCAAGGTCCATCATTCCATGCTGCATGTGGATATCAAGAATCAGCACATGAATATCAACAATGGTGACATGCTTCATGCCGCAATGCATCCTGTGAGTCACCAGAGTATAAAACTAATAGCTACCTGCATGCATTGCAGCATGAAACATGTCACCATTGTTGAGATTCATATGTCTGATTCTTGATGTCTGTGTATTTAAAAAAAAATCCTACAATGTATTTAAAAATCTAATTGTAGAGTGTTCTGTACCAACAAAATAATATTGGTGAAAATATATTAATATCAAGCAGCTAAACAATATTTTACCAATAACCTCTAAACTTATGTTAAAAAGAACTGACAAATGACAGAAAGTCAATCTGGTTAGTAATACGAGAGATTTAATGTCCTTTTAATGGATTTCATCTAAGACTGTGGCTGAAGTCAGTTGTAGTTATTAAGTTTCTCTTTCCTTCTGTGATTCTGCTTGTTATCAGCTTATTATCAGCATCTGTATCAGTATCAACGTCTGTCTGTTATTTTTGTTTAAATGTTACTCATTTTAAATGGTTGATTTTTTTATTAATTCTTACTCAATTCTAATTTGTTAAATGTAATTAATAATATTGCTTGTTATCTGTTGCCTCAATTTTATTGATTAGATATGGTGTATTACTTTTTACAGTGTATGAATCCAAACAATGGTGACTATCTCAAATATTTTGATAAACCAATTCATTCAAAACATCACTGAAAAGCTACTAATTCACAGCAACAAATAACAGCAGCAAATATTTAGAATCAAACTATAGGACAATTCAGCTGCATAATTGATTCATGTTGCAATGCATGCTGGGAGTTTTGTAATATTCTGGTACCCAGTATGCATTGCATCAAAGTACTTTTAATTGTCACCATTGTTGAGATTTAAACACTGATTGTTGATGTCCATGTGTGTTATCATAAACTGATTTTTTTGTGCTCATGTTCGTTAAAGTCTTCTAACTTATTGTTATAAGATTGTTTGATCTCATGCAGCAGTAGCACATTGTATGTGTTGTACGTGACAACATATTTGTTATATTTAAATACCTCAGTGAATCAGTCTGTTTCATGATGATTATCAAACCATCAACAGGTTAACATCATCAACTGATCTCATTTCACTTTTGCTTTCTTTGTTGCTCCAAATGTGTTTAACAAATACACTGTCATAGCAGTCACAAAAGACAATATAATGATAGTTAAGCATTTCCCCAAAACTTATACACTGTAAAAAAAATGATTGTGATTTTAACAGTAAATTTCTGGCAACCACATCTGCCGGTATACCATTAAACTTAAAAAAACATTGAAAAAACTCAATTCTTTGTGTTAGTAAGGTATAAACTTTTGACTTGATCCACGTTTGAGTTCTCGCCCTTTCCTTGACCCCAACCGTGACATTGTTGATGGTAAAACGAAATTTATTTACCTTACTTCCTTACTTTTATCACTGGGCTAGAGTATATGTATTACTTTACAAACACATAATTGACTGTCTCTGTTCTCCACAGACATTCTCAGGTCTGTTCTGTGTGGTCATCAACCCGTACAAGGACCTGCCCATCTACTCAGAGACGAACATCAAGATGTACAAGGGCAAGAAACGACATGAAAACCCGGCGCACATCTACGCCATCACTGAGATGACCTACAGGAGTATGATGCAGGGTATTACACATACAGACCAGTCTAATCAGACATTTTTCTAATCCAAGTTCATTACTTTCAATTATCAGCATCAAAACTGATTTAAAGCATCATTGAGCTGAATTTCTTTTCTTGCTGATGTGCATGTGGGCCCTCCCCCACTGAATATTCAGTTTCACTCAAAAATGTATTTAAAATTTTGAATGTTTTTACATTGTATTAATTCATTGTTGTATAAATTCCCTCCTCCAACAGACCGTGTTAATCAGTCCATTCTCTGCATGTGAGTCATATTCTTGCATGTGTGTATTTTATGTTTTAAGTATTGAAGATGTGCAAGACGTCTCACACTTGTGTGTTTGTTTGTTTTGAGGGGGGAATCTGGTGCAGGAAAGACAGAAAACACCAAGAGGGTCATTCAGTATCTGGCCCACATGGCCTCATCTCATAAGGTACTAACATGCACCCTTTAGTAGACAGGGTACAGGAAAACAAAGGTATATACTTGGGGGGTGCTGCCCTATGCTGAAAAGAAGTAAAAGTGAAAAAAAAAAATTCTGACAGTGTATGTTGTTAAAAAAAAAAACTAAATCAATTAACCAAACTGTTTCAGTTCGTTAAGACCCATACTCCTATTAAATTTACCCAGTTTTTCAAAGGATGTCAAACATCCTTTGTGATTTTAGAAGACAATTGTTACATCCCCCTGATATTGGATGATAAGTGATTTGCAGCTAGATGAACCAAGTTTTGTTCAAGAGAACTCACGAGACCTCTGAATCGGTGTAAACAAAATCGGCAACACTTAATTAGATTAGTTAACTAAGCTCCTATTAATAAACTGCACTTCTACAGCATTGTTAATGTTTCAATATTTTTTCAATATTTTTTTCATTATTTTAATATTTAGAAAGTCTGTATAGGCCACTATATGTGTAGTAGCCATTAAATGAGCACATTTAGTTTAATTTTTGTTAAAATATAATAATATAATATAAAAATATTATTTTTGTATATCTATGCTGATTATGAAAATTGTAACAGCATGAGTAAGATGCACAATATAGCGGAATATTTGATGGGTCAGACATGATTTTGACCACTAAATTAAGTTTTGTAGAAAGCCTGAATTTCGTTTTGTATAAATTGTATCTTAATTGTAATCAATTTTTCATCAACCAATCCCCTGGATATAAAAAATAAGAAGCAAACATAGCAGACAATATGATCATGATATGGAGGTGAGGGCGCGGTTGCATTGCACATGAACTGGAGCACATATCATCATAAATTTTGCTCATTTAAATAATTTTAAAAAAAAGTGTGTGTGTGTGTGTATATATAAAAAAAATATAAATATAAATATAAAAGGGTCATCTGAGAGCCCTATATCTCTGTAATTTACTGTAATTTGGAAGAGTATGGAAATATGAATTTAAAAAAGGAACATTTGATTCCAATTACCTGCCATTTCGTCCCCTTGGAATTATAAGGTTCTATCTGACATTTTTGTCAAAATTGAGTTATTCACATTTTTTTATTCTGTGGAAATTTATTTACATTATGTGATGTGTTTTGTACATTTAGGGTCCCTGTTATTTTTTATGTTTGAAAGAAACATGTTCCCCATACACATTTTCCTATATGGAATGCAAAAACTTTGAAGCTCAATATCTCAAAACTGCTCAGAACGCAGATAGAACCTTATAATTCCAAGGGGACGATTTCTCAAAATCTGCACAGTACAGAGTGAGTAATTCAAGCATTGATTGTTGTTAGATGTGATAAATTATTGGAATTTTAAATTAGTGATTTTTAAAGTGAAACTAAAATGTTAGTATTCACCCAAAAATCCACTAATGTATTCGGAAGGGGGTTGAAGAGATCTGCTTAGACAGCCTATACCCAGATAGCAACATTGTTTTGCCCCAGAACCGACCCATATCTGGCTCTTGTGGAATACTGATCTGGCCCAGAATGACGGCCCTTGGATGGGGCGCTCCTGTTTGCCAGATCTGGGCCACAAACAAGCCAGAACAATGCCACATGTCAGCCAAAACCAAAGATATAAACCAAAACTGGGTGTGCCAGGTTTGGGCCGGATCTGGATTGACAGTTATCAAGCACCTGAACTAAATCCAATAATGTTTTGAGCACAGGGAGAGCTGGAGAAACAGCTGTTACAGGTGAACTCTATCCTCGAACCTTTCGGCAATGCCAAGACAGTGATTAATGACAACTCTTCTAGATTCGTAAGTTATGGATATAACCCGTTGTTATGGTGATCTTTTTGAATAATATACTGAATTTGTGTCATTTAACTTCAGTCTTTCTTACATTTTAGACCAAATTCATCAGAATCAACTTTGACATTAACGGATACATGATTGGAACCCATATCAAAACCTGTATCTTTATGAACCCCCATCATGCATTGCAGCATGGATAAATTATGCAGCTGAATTGTCTATAATTTTAATTTTAATTGATTGCTCCTGTTTTGTTGTGACTTCAGTAGCATGTTTTGTGATGTTGTCTCTTGTCAATGGGCCAGACATGGAGGGCCCACAACTGAGGTTGGGGGTGACAAATCTTTCCCTTCGGCTAGGAAAGGAGTCCTTCCTAAAGGGAATTGGTCTGTGGGCTTCTGACAGATGCTGTATCAACTCAGGGAGCCATGACTGGTTTCACCAGAGAGGGACAAGCAGAAGGTCTGTGAATCTGTTCTCCCTGATCTGTTTGATGACCTGAGGGAGCAATGCAACTGGAGAGAAGGCATAAAAAGGGAGGCTGGGCCATTTGTGGGCCAGCGCATCCCTGTCCTTTGAGAATAACATTGGACAGTAAGAGTTGTTTTCTTCGGTGAAGAGGTCGACCTCTACCTTCCCAAACATACTCCAAATCATTTGGAAACACTGTCCTTTTGGAATGCCGCAGCGAGCTTCTGAATAGTTAAGTGCGCTCCAGCGTAAGCCAGGCCCTCATTTCGGCCTAATCGAGAAATGCTTGCAGGAAGGCGATATGTTGGCTGGAAGTCTGTGAGTTCTTGGCCAAGTTGATCCTGTGTGCCAGGCCAATATATATAATTTATAGCACCTCTGGAGAAAACTGTGATGTCATCTCCCCCAAACCCAGAGTACCGGAGAATCTTCTCTCTCTGTGGGGAAAGTGAGGCATGCGGGACCCATGCCAGCATGAGGTCACTTATGTCTTACCGCTCACTCCTTTGTCTCTGCTGTTTCTTCCTCAAGAGGTCTGGCAGGTTCCTTACCAGAAGATCGTCAGCTTGCATGGAGAGCGCTGTTGAGTTAGCCTGATCCACTGCGAGGCTTGTCTACGGTGGCAGGCTTTCTAGATCTCAGTAAGGAGAATATCTTCGTCGCTAAAGGAGAATTATTCTGAAATCCTATGGCGAGACACCCGCTCTTACAGATGTATAGGCTAGGGGTGCACGATATTGACAAAAATGTGATATTGCGATATCGATAATGAATATTGCGATATCGATATTAATTTCGATATTTTTAAACGGATGAAAAAATACAAAAGTTATTGGAAAACGCATCAAAAAGATTAATAAATAAAACAAGTTTTCTTACAACATAAGATTTATTTCAACTGACAGTCATATTGGACTGGTACAGCATTAATAAATAGGCCTAAATAATATGTCAACAGAACAGGACATGTTAGTTGTGTACACTACACTGTAAAAGATAATAAATAAATAGCAAGTCTACAGAACACACTATGCAACATAAACCCCACTATATGCGTTTTCTTTGACCGAATAGCTATCTGATCGTGAAAAGACCAGGTGTAAATGCCCTGCCCTGTGAAACGCATTCGTGACGTATTTGAATCTAATCGCTCAAACCACTTCAGGAGGCGGTCTGGGCCGCATTTCAGTTGAAATTGGACAAATGTAAATGCATCTCGTTACTGAATAAACCACATATGTAAAATGTACTCCTTCCAAAAACGCTAAAAATGAGAACGTTACAGGCTTGTCATGTTATGGCCAGATATGACGACGAGCGCGACTGCAACACGCATCACCGCAGATGAGCAGCTGTTGAACATTTCCTTTTCATCAAGCCAACGCGCAAACTATCGCAAATCAAAGTGAAAGTAAGTCGCAGACGCTTTTCACAGTTATCTTCATTAAAAGTAAATAAACGAACTGATCTTATTTTACCTGATGATCATAAAACGCAGCTCATAACTGTTGACGTGACGGTGACGTGCACTCCATTAAATCTGCATATAGCGCGGGAATTGAAGATCGTATTTTGATAAATCAGATAGCTATCCGATCAGTGAAAACGCATGAAGTTGCCAGGTGGACCGTGGCCTGATGTTTATAGGCTACTTGTGCGCTGGTGTGCGCGTCGAGCTGGGGCAAGTGTGTGTGTGTGTGTGTGTGTGTGGGACTGTGTGGCATGAGAGCAAGGGAGAAGTGAGAGAGTGACGGCGGTTAGCTTTGGAGCGAGTAGCGACTTTATATTGAGAAAAACAAAGTGTCTCTCCTGTTCTTTCTGACCACTGTGGGAAATCTGTAGCATGAAAAGTTAAACCTCTCTTGATTTAATATTGTTTATGGAGAAGGAGAATCAGGAAATGAGTCGGGGGGAAATGCAACGGTGCATGTCGGACCAGACGCATCATAAACAAAATATTGCATAAATATCGCGACACTTTCGATATGGATATCGAGCAACGTGATATCGCGATAACGATATTGATTCGATATATCGTGCACCCCTAGTATAGGCTATAGGCTGGTGCAGTTTCACTGTGTGATTCAATAAGGCTTCAGTATTCAGAGAAAAACATTTGTCCGGGAAGCAGACACTCTCTATTAGTTCAAAGCTAGACTTAAAACACATCTCTTTGGCCTAGCATACACATAACACACTATAGACTTCCTTAATTTAAAATTAGGCTGCATAGATTGTCCCGAACATGTCCCGTAAATCCTGATGTACTTGGTACATCATAGGAAGGATGGCGTCTACGCTAATATTAGTTTCTCTGTTTATCCCGAGGGACCCTCTATGGTGGACCTGCGCCTGGACCCATCCCGACTCATCCTTAAGTGCCGGCCTCATTGACACGACAGCCATCAGCACTGATCCTCAACATCTCGTCTCCAAACCGGCGTGATTAGTTCGACTTCCAAACAGATGGAAATGGACAATTATCTTAATGTTTCGATCCAATTTGTCATGTAATAATACCCGAATCACACACTGTTCCTTCGTTGGCCAGAGGAGAAGGCCCCAGACTGAGCTTTGGTTCTCCCAAGGTTTTTTTCGAGATGGTCCTCACTGCAGAACATGCAATCCACAGGGAGGAGTTGGATCCAGATCCAACTCCTCCCACCTTACATATACCTAAACCTACCCAGCTCCACCAGCTGATCCCTAAACCCACCCCTAAACCTACCCAGCTCCACCCCCTGATCCCAAACCCACCCCTAAACCTACCCAACTCCACTCCCTGATCCCTAAACCCACCCCTAAACCTACCCAACTCCAATCCCTGATCCCTAAACCCACCCCTAAACCTACCCAACTCCACCCCCTGATCCCTAAACCTACCCAACTCCACCCCCCTGATCCCTAAACCTACCCAGCTAGACCCCCTGATCCCTAACCCCACCCCTAAACCTACCCAGCTCCACCCCCTGATCCCAAACCCACCCCTAAACCTACCCAGCTCCACCCCCTGATCCCAAACCCACCCTTAAACCTATCCAACTCCACCCCTGATCCCTAAACCTACCCAGCTAGACCCCCTGATCCCTAACCCCACCCATAAACCTACCCAGCTCACCCCCTGATCCCAAACCCACCCCTAAACCTACCCAACTCCACCCCCTGATCCCAAACCCACCCAGCTTCACCCCTGATCCCTAAACCTACCCAGCTAGACCCCCTCATCCCTAACCCCACCCCTAAACCTACCCAGCTCTACCCCCTGATCCCAAACCCACCCTAAACCTACCCAACTCCACCCCCTGATCCCTAAACCTACCCAGCTAGACCCCCTGATCCCTAACCCCACCCCTAAACTAACCCAACTCCACCCCCTGATCCCAAACCCACCCCTAAACCTACCCAACTCCACCCTCTGATCCCTAAACCCACCCCTAAACCTACCCAACTCCACCCCTGATCCCAAACCCACCCCTAAACCTACCCTGTTCCACCCCCTGATCCCAAACCCACCCCTAAACCTACCCAGCTCCACCCCTGATCCCAAACCCACCCCTAAACCTACCCAACTCCACCCCCTGATCCCTAAACCCTAAAGCCAACTTTTTTTTTGGCTTGCTTAGTTGGGGACATTTTATATTCAACAATATTATTGGTCTGTGTTGTATTATTTTCATGTTATCACTGAGAAGCTGCTTTGATACAATCTGTATTGTAAAAAGCACTATATAAATAAAGGTGTCTGAAAACAAGTTTTCCCATTGCATCTAGCAATGCAATACGAGAGAACCGTGTCGATCAGGGAACTAAAAACAGCATCATATAGGTATTTCATATGTGGAGATGGACATCTTAGATTAAATAAATCATGGCAGAATGCACAAAATGAAGTACACATGTGTCACAGACTAGAAGGACCCAGATGGATGAGGGTAGACCAGGTTTATTGTAACAGGTGATATGGCAGACAGCTGGTAAGTATAATGAGAAAGTTCAGAGAGGGAGCGGGAAACAGTCTGATAATGAATCCTTATCTTGAGCAGGGCTGGAAGACGGAGTGCTGGGGTAGCGGACGGAAGACCAGAGGAAGACCGGGGACCAGGAGCGGAAGAGAAGCTGACGGGGCAGCAGTAATCGGGTAAGTATTCCTAGAAGCAAGCAGTAGTGTGGCAGGAGTCTGTAGCCGAAGTGTCGACGAGACCAGACGGTGAATGACTGTGAGGAGTGAGTTTATAAAGGGAGGATGATTGGGACGGTGATTGAAGCGGGCAGGTGACAGTGATTAGAATGCAGGGGAGCTGGAACGAGTGGGCGGAGTGAAGGTGTCTGGTGCTGACGCGGATGGATCCGTGACAGTACCCCCCCACCCCCCCACGGCCAGCTCCAGCTGGCAGACGGAACCGACGACAGGGACGACCACGGCTCCGGGGTGCTGGACGATCTGGATGGGTGGTGTGAAAGTCCTGGAGTAATGAGGGATCCAGAATGTCCTCCCGGTTGACCCAGCATCTCTCCTCAGCACCGAATCCCTCCCAGTCCACGAGATATTCCAAGCGGCCGCCCCGTCGCCGGGAGTCGAGGATTTCGTGGACTCGGTAGATGTTGTCGTCTTCGGGATCCGCAGGAGGAGGGGGCACCTCCGCAGCACCAGACCCTGGGGAAGAAGAAGTGAGAGGGTTAGTGTACGGCTTGAGCAAGGAGACATGGAAGGTGGGTGCAATGCGGTAGTGAGCGGGGAGTGCTAGCCGGTAGGTGACAGGATTGATCTGCCTCTGAATCGCGAAAGGACCGATATATCTGGGACTCAGCTTCCGACAGGGCTGTCGGAGACGGATGTCCCGGGTGGAGAGCCAGACCAGTTGTCCCGGAAGGTAGTGAGGGGCGTCGGTACGGCGAAGGTTGGCCTGGTTCTGGTGTCTCCGAACAGCCCGCTGGAGGTGAGTATGAGCTGAGTCCCAGACTCTCTCGCTCGTCTGGAACCAATGGTGGACTGCTGGGACAGATGGTTCTCCTGACCAGGGGAATAGCGGAGGCTGGTAGCCGAGTATGCACTGGAACGGAGTAAGGCCGGTGGTGGTTTGTCGGAGGGAGTTCTGCGCATACTCGGCCCAGGGCAGGTAACGACTCCAGCAATCCTGGTGGTCATGGCAGTATGACCGCAGGTATCTCCCGATTTCCTGGATCTTCCGCTCAGTCTGGCCGTTTGACTGGGGATGGTATCCAGAAGTGAGGCTAACGGTCACTCCCAGAAGGTTGAAGAATGCCTTCCACACACGAGAGATGAATTGGGGTCCTCGGTCGGACACAACGTCCTCGGGGATCCCAAAGTTTCGGAATATGTGTTGGAACAGCGCCTCAGCTGTTTCAAAGGGCGGTAGGTAAACCCGGAAGGGGAATTAGTTTGCACGCCTTGGAGAAGCGGTCCACTACTACCAGAATGCAGGTGTGGTTGTTCGACACGGGCAGGTCGGTAACGAAGTCCACTCCGAGATGGGACCAAGGTCGAGTGGGTATAGGGAGAGGGACCAGCTTGCCTTCCGGGAGATGACGGGGAACCTTGGCCATGGCACAGACTGAGCATCCTCTGACGAACCGGGAGACGTCCTGGGCCATACCCGGCCACCAATAGCGCTGTTGGACGAGCGAGAGAGTGGATTGGCTGCCTGGGTGTCCAGAGCCCGGAGAGGTGTGTACTGAGTCCATGAGGGACAGGCGTAGACGGGTTGGAACATAGACCCGTCCCTCTGGACCTCCCGGCGGAGCAGGTTCAAGTTGCGTGGCTTCGGCGATGTGGTCATCTAGGCTCCATTGGATGGGGCTGACAACCACGGCTGGAGGGAGAATGGGTTCAGGCTCGGAAGATGGTGTTTCAGGTTGAAACTGACGGGAGAGTGCATCTGCTTTTACGTTCTTTTCACCGGGGCGATAGGTGACTGAGAAATTGAAGCGAGTAAAGAACAGGGCCCAACGGGCTTGACGGGGATTGAGCCTCTTAGCATCCCGGAGGTACTCGAGGTTGCGATGGTCGGTGATCACCGTGAACGGGTGTTGGGCTCCCTCCAGCCAGTGCCTCCATTCCTCCAACACCAATTTAATGGCCAGTAACTCCCGGTTGCCGATGTCGTAGTTCTGCTCCGCCGGGGACAGTTTCTTGGAGAAGAAGGCGCATGGATGGAGTTGAGGTGGATTCCCCTGCCGCTGAGAGAGGACCGCTCCTACCCCCGAGATGGAGGCATCAACCTCGACGAGGAAGGGCACAGCGGGGTCCGGAAGGGCGAGGGTAGGAGCGGAGCCAAAGGCAGACTTCAGGGCTTGGAAGGCTTGAGTGGCTTGGGTGGTCCAGGACAGAGACTTGGCCCCGCTCTTGAGAAGGTCGGTGAGTGGTGAACTGATGGGACTGAAGTTCTGGATGAAACGGCGGTAGAAGTTTGCAAATCCCAGAAAACGTTGAAGCTCCTTTCGGGTGGTGGGTTGTGGCCAGTGGAGTACCGCTTCCACCTTCCTCTGGTCCATGGTGATTCCGTGTGGGGTGATGACGTACCCGAGGAAGTGGATGGTGCTTTGATGGAACTCGCACTTCTCCAGTTTGAGGCACAGATGGTAGTCTCGAAGGCGTTGGAGCACTGTCTGAACGTGGTGAATATGGGAGGCCAGATCGGGTGAATAGATGAGGATGTCGTCAATGTATATGACGACAAACTGATTGAGTAGATCGCGGAATATTTCATTCATGAAACCTTGGAAGATGGCGGGTGAGTTGGACAATCCGAAGGGCATCACAAGATATTCGTAGTGCCCTGCGGGGGTGATAAAGGCGGTCTTCCACTCATCTCCTTCCCGGATTCGGATGAGGTTGTAGGCACTACGAAGATCGAGCTTGGTGTAAACGGATGCCCCTCGGAGTTGTTCCAGGGCTGCTGGGACCAGAGGAAGAGGATAGCGGAATTTAACTGTGGCTTGGTTGAGGACCCGGTAATCGATGCAAGGGCGCAAGCCTCCATCCTTTTTACCCACGAAGAAAAAACTCGAAGCGGCAGGGGACACTGATGGTCGAATGAATCCGTGATCGAGAGCCTCTTGGATGTACTCCTCCATGGCCTTCTGCTCCGGGATGGACAGAGGGTATATCTTACCTCGCGGTAGAACCGCCCCAGGCAGCAGGTCGATCGCGCAGTCCCATGGCCGATGTGGGGGTAGAGTGGTGGCGAGACGTTTATCGAAGACATCCTGGAACGCCCGGTAGGGTGAGGGGATCTCGGGAGAAGGTTCCACGGGGGGGCTCTCCACGGAGGCGGTGGAGAGTGGAACGGGCGGAGTGATGGAGGGAACTGAGTTTTTCGTCACAGAGGGTAGACAACGCTGGAAACAGTCTGGACCCCACCGTAGAACCTCGCCGGTGGACCATTGAATATGCGGCGCATGGGTCTCCAACCAGGGGCGTCCCAGGATGATCTCAGCCGTTGAGCCCCCCAGCACCAGAAAGGATATCTCCTCCCTGTGGAGCCAGCCGATTTCCAATCCCATGTCGGGGCTTCGATGTCCCACCCGGCCGCGTCCTAGTGGCTGTCCCAGAATGGTTTGAACTTGAAGTTTGTGGGGGATGGTACGTTGTCTGGTTTGTAGCCGGTTTAGCGTGGACAGAGCGATGAAGTTGGCCGCTGATCCAGAGTCGATCAGCGCCTGGACTGAAATGGAACGGTTCAGATATGTGATAGTGGCCGTAGTGAATTTCAAGGAGGAGATGGGCAATGGTAACTGAACCGTACTCACAGCTGGCCGGGGGGGGCGGACGGGACAGGAGGCGAGCAGATGACCGGAGGCTCCACAGTACAGGCACAGCCCGTTAGTGATGCGACGGTTTCTCTCGGAGACTGACAGATGAGTGGTACCGACTTCCATGGGTTCTGGTGCTGGAGGACTGTGATGACAGGGTACCGGGCGAGGAGTTGGAGGTGCAGGGCTGTCGAGCTGGCATGCAGTGCGCCGCTGATCGATACGAATGGACCGCTGGATGATGCTCTCAATGCCGGCGGTGTCGTCATACACCGCGAGCTGGAGACGGATGTCAGGATGAAGACCATGACGGTAGGCGGTGATGAGAGCAGACTCATTCCAACCGAGAGTAGCGGCGAGGGTGCGGAATTGCAGTGCATATGAAGCGACGGATGATCTCCCTTGTCGCAGACGGTACAGCTGATCCTGGACGGAGATGGAATGAGCTGACTGTGAGAACACCTCAGTGAAGTGGCTATTGAGATTTCGGCGAACGTCTGGGTAACGGGGCCACGATCCTTCCAGAGAGCGTGAGCCCAGTTGAGCGCTCGGCCTCGCAGGAGTGAAATGAAGAAAGCCACCTTCGATCGTTCAGTGGGGAAAGATGACGGGTTCATCTCCATATAGAGCTCGCACTGCAGGAGGAAGCCACTGCACTCCTCCTCCTCGCCTGAGAAGGGCGCTGGTTGGGCCATGGGACTGGCAGAGGCAGATGCGGAAGAAGTGGTCACGGTGGATGTGGTGAGTGCTGGAGCGCTGGTCCGGGGAATGGCAGGAGTAGGTAGGTTCGGTGGAGCGCTGGTGCTCGGGGTTGATTGCTGCATTTTGTTGGTCTGGTCTTCTGTCACAGACTAGAAGGACCCAGATGGATGAGGGTAGACCAGGTTTATTGTAACAGGTGATATGGCAGACAGCTGGTAAGTATAATGAGAAAGTTCAGAGAGGGAGCGGGAAACAGTCTGATAATGAATCCTTATCTTGAGCAGGGCTGGAAGACGGAGTGCTGGGGTAGCGGACGGAAGACCAGAGGAAGACCGGGGACCAGGAGCGGAAGAGAAGCTGACGGGGCAGCAGTAATCGGGTAAGTATTCCTAGAAGCAAGCAGTAGTGTGGCAGGAGTCTGTAGCCGAAGTGTCGACGAGACCAGACGGTGAATGACTGTGAGGAGTGAGTTTATAAAGGGAGGATGATTGGGACGGTGATTGAAGCGGGCAGGTGACAGTGATTAGAATGCAGGGGAGCTGGAACGAGTGGGCGGAGTGAAGGTGTCTGGTGCTGACGCGGATGGATCCGTGACAACATGAGGCTTTAGCCTGTCTCGGGCACAGTAGAGTGCACATCTGCACGAGCCTTTCAAAGTACACTCCTTGGTCGTGAGTGTGATAAGACAGGTTCAGAATGTGCGCAATATCAATTAGACTTTTCTTTTCAAGCACTTAAATAAGTTGCACATGCAGAATTGTACCATTCTGCTGACTAGTGGATGGTGTGCGCAGACTACGAAGTATATACTTTGGGCTTTAAGCAGACTGTAAAAGGCTTTTTGTGTGAGTATTCATGTGCTTTTGTGTGTCCTTGACTCTGACTGTCAGTTCTATTGGAAATTTCTCGTGTGATTCGTCAAGCTAAAGAAGAGAGGAACTTCCACATGTTCTACTACATGCTCACCGGCGCAGAAGACGAACTACGCTGTGAGTGTCATTCCTCTCTACTTTAATACACGATTGTTGAACTTGTTTGAGTTTTAAAATCACTAAAATAATAATAGTAGGATAAGGCTCTTGTGTTTATTACTGAATGTCAATTATTGGACTAATTTCAGCTGAACTGTATCTGGAGAGCTTCAATAAATACAAGTTCCTGTCCAATCGAAACCTGGCGATTCTGGGACAGAAGGACCAAGATATGTACAAGGAGACCATGAAGTTAATGAATATCATGGGCTTCTCCAAGAGAGAACAGAACGGTACATACATGACATGACGGTGTTTTCTGCTGTGGAGATTTTTGAAGTTGTTTAGTTGTGTGCATTGACTCCTGCAGGTCTGTTGAGGGTCATGTCATCTCTGCTACAGCTGGGTAACATGTCTTTTGAGAAGAAGGGTAACTCAGAACAAGCCTCCATGCCTGATGACACCGGTAAACACACCATTATGACTTTACAAACATGTCCATCAGGCTTTGTATTAATCCATACCAGTATTGACACCATGAATGGAGTTGATGCATTTATATGGTTTCTAGTTGGTCGTGAGATGATCAATAAGTTAACAGCCAGGTGGAACAAGATTAACCGAGTAGATCATCTTGGTCAAGCTGTTGAGCTGGTAGTTGAGAAGGCAAACCAGCAGCATTTGTTACTGCCAGTCGAGTGTTATTAATTAGATTTTTTAAACAACTTATCCTTCTCCAGCCGCACAGAAGGTGTGCCATCTGATGGGCATGAACGTAACCAATTTCACGCATGCCATCCTCTCACCCCGGATTAAAGTGGGCCGTGATCACGTGCAGAAGGCCCAGACGCAGGAGCAGGCCGAGTTCGCGGTGGAGGCTCTGGCCAAAGCCACGTACGTGAGGATGTTTCGATGGTTGGTGATGCGCATCAACAAAGCCCTGGATAAGACCAAGCATCAGGATACCTTCATCGGCATCCTGGACATCGCCGGCTTCGAGATCTTTGAGGTATGGCAGAAACCTTACTGCTTCAAGCTTACAGTGAGATTGATTACCCACAGTTCCTAGCATTAACTGTAGTTGTTCCTCTTCGCAGCTGAACTCGTTCGAGCAGTTCTGCATTAACTACACTAACGAGAAGCTCCAGCAACTGTTCAACCACACCATGTTCATCTTGGAGCAGGAGGAGTACCAACGCGAGGACATAGAGTGGAAATTTATTGACTTCGGCCTTTGCCTGCAGCCCTGCATCGACCTCATCGAGAAATCTGTGAGCCACTCTCCACCAATCACGCGCCTACCAGAGCATTAACATGGCCTTTAATGTGTAAATTGCAGGTGACATTTTTCTCGAAGATATTGCAACGTGCTTACTAAACATAAAGATAAGAACCGCTCACAATTGTTTTTTGTTTATACCAAAATGCATATAATATGAAAAGTTGGTACTTTTTACAGTGGTTTTAAGCACTCCCCCTCCCTTCCACTAGGCTGGGTGTAACGTCATAAAAGGGACTCCAAGCTTTTACTCTCTATGCCTGGTCTCTGCTCCAAATCTAGAGTTACCGTTTGTCTACACGGCAGGTAGGCTTGCAGTTATATAGGAGACCTAGGTAGCAAAAATGGTTAACTATTGTGTTTGTGTGGGATGTACGAATACATCAAAAACAAAGGAGAGGCTCCACAAGTTCCCCAAGGACAAACGACTGATTTGTGCCTGTAAGTATACCCGAGGTAGATCTCGGGTATGCAAGCCAGACCCTACCCGAGCAAGTTGTGTCCGAGCCCAGCCCGACACATTAACTGTAATTATGCGTCCGAGCCCGATTTAAACCTGACTATTTTTTAATACTTGGGTCATTATTACTCTACTACTTTCTATGTTACTTTCTCCTGCTCACAACATTTATGTTTTGTCCCGCCCGCAAGAAGACTTTTTTTCTGTACCTCCAAATACTTTCAAGTTAGCCTATGTGTCGCCACCATACACATCAGCATAAATGCTCCCTATAAATTATTTGTTATTATAGCATTAACACACAAACCACACTGTTATAACATAAAAACAAGCAGGCTAACTTGCAGTAATGCATGGTTTGGCATGACTGCGCGCAAAGTGCGCTCCCATGATAATTCCCAAAAAGCTGACTGAACAAAAAGTCAATTTTGAGCGGTGAGGGGAGCACTGGCGTAGGAACTGGGGGGACGTGTCCCCCTCAATATTGAAAAATGTGGCATGTGTCCCACCCAAAAAATTCCATACCTAACCTACCGCAGGAACAAAAACTGTAACAGTTACTAAGTTACTAGATACACTTTTGTGGGAATTACTAATTATTTGGATCCGTATTATAAAGTGAAGATCATTGGAACTAACTAGTAATTACTCAAGTGTTACTACATGATCTAGTCATGATTTGTGCAACCGTTTGAGATTTTTGGTGAACTTTAGTATACTTTTAGAAAATGTCTTTAGTAACACTTGAGTAATTACTAGTTAATTCCAAGGATCTTCACTTTATAATACGAATCCAAATAATTAGTAATAATTCCCACAGAAGTATCTAGTAACACTTTCATCTGTGAGCTATTACTTACTAATTTGTTAATAAGAGTTTCTTTTAGTTAATAGTAGTTACTAGATTGTTAATAAACTTTTTCAGTAGTTCTCTGGGAAGTATTAAAAAAATAGTAGTTATTGATTACTTAATAGTGAACTACCACTTTCGTCTGTGCGCTATTACTTACTAGTTCGTTAATCAGAGTTTCTTGTTAGTTAATAATAGTTACTAGATTGTTAATATTGTGTTACTCATTAGTTCTTGTGTAGTTATTCATTTACGAAGGAACCGTATTCTAAAGTGTTACCAAACTTCTAGGCATATATTTTTTTATTAAGTATTTATTTTGTATTAACACTGTATTCATTTATAATGTATCATTATTGCGTGACATTTGTGTCAATAATCGTCAAGCACAGGTGATTTCACGTAGTGGGAGGGGGCCCCAAAACAGACCGCCACTGCATGAACCACATCACCAAACTGTATGTTACTATTATGGTGGTGGGATAGATGTTGATTCATAGTGGCCAGTATGTCCCCCCCAATGTCAAAGACGTTCCTACGCCCTTGTGGGGAGTCTATCGCAAATGCTTCTGATTGACAGTTGCGTTCAAGAAATCAATGTCTCTGTTGGCTACATCGCTCACCGCTACAAAAATGTTATAAATAGAAACTCTGGCCTGTAAATCATTGCTATTTTGTTTTAGTTGTTCTTGTTGCTTTTCTGCAATGGATGAATACAAATATATTCATTTTTATGTTTAATTCAAAGATATTTCTAGTTTGCAGGAGTCCTGCAAATCATTTTATTCTCCCTCAACCCAAACACACAGAGTGAGTGGACTCCCTCTTATGACGTCATCACCCAGTTACTGTAAAATACATACTACCTTTGAAGAAACCACAATAAATGTTATTTTAACGCATTTTAAGACAGAAATTTTTAAATATATACTTATTGAGCACTTTAATTCACACATTAATTAGTTGTGGTGGTTAACCTGCAATTTACACTTTAAAAGAGCGAATTTCTTGCCAAATCTACTCAAATGTTGGGTTGAGAATCGAGAATCAGCAGCATTTTTAAAATTCCTAATGATTTCCATCCCTACCAATAATTTTGGTACCCTACTCAATACCCTACTCAATTTTATAAACGGACAAAAATCAAAAATCAGTTGTGACATTCCTGATTTTGAGTTTGTATTCCCTTATCCAGATGAATCCTCCTGGAATCTTGGCTCTCTTGGATGAAGAGTGCCGTTTGCCTAAATCTACGGGCAAGAGTTTTGTGGAGAAGATCCAGCGCGAACATCTCAACATCCACAAACCCAAGAAATTGAAGGACAAGGCCACTTTTTGCATCATCCATTATGCTGGAAAGGTCTTTGAGGATTTTGCTGTGTGCACACAGTGTTAAATCAACACTGTAAAGAAACACTGTATTATATAAAATCTGAGCAGAGTGTTAAAGGAGAACTCCGGCGAACAATGAACCTTTGGTCTAATAAAACATCGGTACATAGTCAACCGTTCTCTGAGATTTGTTTTTATGATAATCGAATGTAAAGAGTTTTATCTCTAAAAACTGTTTAGCGTATAACGCTAGCAATGGGGGCATTGACAAAATAGCCCCACACTAACACAGTAACATAATTCGCTGTAGTTGTAGTTCGCTGAACTTCATACAGTTCAGATCACTCAGCACGACGTTCGTGGTTTGACTTATCGAGATTTTATATTTTTAAGATGGCTCCTGTCTGTATACGCGAAGTGAACTGTCTTTATAAAGTATCTTCTTATTAAACGGTCTGTACACTTACAAAGTTCTCAATGCTTCGTTTTGCATGTATGGAGCCTCATTATGTTACTGCGTTAGTGTGGGGTTATTTTGAGCCTTGTTAGTGGTATAAAGTAGCGATTTCTTTTTACTTAGTCAATGCCCCCATTACTAGCATTATACGCTAAACAGTTTTTAGAGATAAAACTCTTTACATTCGATTATCATGAAAACAAATCTCAGAGAACGATTGACTAGGTACCGATGTTTTATTAGACCGAAGGTTCATTGATCGCCGGAGTTCTCCTTTAAATGAACACGGAAGCAGTGTTAAAGTTAATGTGATAATTAGGTGAATAATTGAGTTATAACAGCCAGATGAACAAAGAGAAAAAGTTGTTTGATGGTGTTCGCTTTGTTTAACATTATCATTATTTTCCAATCATTTGACCTGATTAGACCCCAGTTCCCAAGTTAAATTTACTTTATTGATTATAACAGCACTCTCCTTGAAAATGATAGTTGTAACTTCTACAATGTAATCCAAATAATTTCTTAAAACTTCAAACTTCAAATCACATAAAAAACTGTTTTTTTAAAAGACATCAAGAATCAGCCTGTGAATCTCAACAATGGTGACAATTATAAAGTATGTTGCAGTGCATTCTGGATGCTACCAATCAAATCTCATTCATGGCTCCCATCATGCATTGCTGTATGAATAAATAAAGAGCTTATGTTCAGAGGTCATCTTTTTGTCACTATTGTTGAGATTCATATGCAAATTCTAGATGTATGTATATGCTTACCTAAATATTTTTAAGAAGTGTTTTGTTTTCTCTTTTTTTTTTATTTGATTGTTTAGATTAACAACTATGCACTAACATAATTTGTTGCAATGTGATTATTTTGTTCATACGTTTTTTTACTTAGAAAAGGCAAGAAAATGCATACTCTACAACAACAGTGCTGCTATAATCCATATACTACAAACCTTCACTCTGAAATTATGCTCTCAATGAGTTCAGTGATCCAGGCCAATTATTGATTATGTTAAAACACAACCAACACCATCATACACTCTTAGAAAAAAGGGTTCTATATATGTAGCATAGGGTTCTTTACTCAACTCCAAATGACATTTTATGCTAAAAAAAAAGGTTCTATAATGACAAGAAAGAACCCGTTTGGCACAAAGGTTCTTTATAGGCTATTATTCATTTCATATATTACATTATTCTGCAATATTTTGTAGTTGTAATTAAATTATTGTTTATTAAACTTAATATGACATCTTAATCATGCTGATTTTTGGAGGAGAAAATCTTAAAGGTGCCATCTGGAACTAAGAATCAAAACATATTCCATTTTCCATAACAGATGGGGGCAGTATACCTCCAGAAAGTGAGTTGTGCCGCGGCTGCGTACACTCTCACATCTACAAACAACACAAGCGAGCGCTGTTTTGCTCTCTCTTTCACCGCATGTCATCCAAATCATTTGACACGATAGTAAAAGGTTGAAACACCGCAGTTTCACGTGGAGCATTTGGAGATTTTTAGATATCAGAGACTAAATGAACAACATCTTAACACTAAATGATGAAGACCGTCTC